CCCCCCCCCATTTTTTTAATATCACTACCTCTGGTTTAAGGAAAATTTTAATAGAATTCAAATTTAAAATAAAAATGAAGTACTCTAATCTGGGCAGGAAAGATGAAAACAGACTTTACTTGTCAAAAACGATTCGTGCTTTAGCTGTCTGGAAAAATTCTTAATTTGAATTTTTAAGGAAATATCTGTCGTAAAAAAGGAGAGAAAACACAGGGAACAAAGCGAGTTTAGGTAATTGTCAGTATTAAGAAAGAAGCCAATGAAGAAAGATAGAAAGTGAAGATTGAGGGTTTTTCATTGTTGATCCTGTCAGCATCACAGGTGGTCCCTGCAATTTTAGGGACAAAAAATGAAATGATAACAGGTAATTATGAAAGCACGCACATACACTGAGCCCAAAAACTTATTTCTCTTAAGACCAAAATTGTCCAAAATGTTTCCAAATCTAGAAAGAGTTCCATTTATAGTTTAAAAAAAAAAAAAAAAAAAAAAAAAGAGAAAAATAAACCCAAAGATATTTCTCAAACCAGGAGAATTTTTTTTCTCCTTAAAAAAAATTATACGCATACATTCAACAGTGAAAAGTTCCGGTTGTGAATGATATTAAATAATTTTTTTGCTACAGCCTCCGGAATAACAAAGGGTCATCTATAAAATCGTGAAACTTAAAACGAAAAAAAATTAAGTAATATTTTTAACATTCACCTCGTTTTTTTGCTTTTCCGGTCGCCATCAAGTTACAAACGAACTGACGTAAGGGAGAAGTAAATAAATTGCTTCCTTCCCGGAAAAAAAAATATTCACGTTGAAGCCTATTTCCTCGTTTTTGAGGAGATTCACGCAATATGTAATCCCTCTTTATATTTTTTCTCTTTTTAAACGGCATAAATTTAAACTATGATCGATAAAAGAAATACATAGGTGTCCATTGCATTTTCAGTTATTTCCCGCCATATTTCCCATGCTGTTTACTTTCTAGCTATCAATCATAGCTGTCGTTGCTATGACAATAGCAATTTTGGGACTCGTTCCCCTTAAATCTCACTTCTGATTGGCTGTTGTTCAAGTCTCGTTGTCGCAGTTGCAAAATGGCGTCTTCTTGAATGTGACCCGCCCCAGAGCCCATGGCTGAAAAAAACACCAACATGGAGTGGGGCCTCTCGCGCGAATATCTCGCCGTTATCTTGACGAACTTCGTTGCTCTCGGAACTTGCAGAAACCATCACAATTCCTCTTTCCAGTGCATCGAATTAACGAAAAAATGCCTTCATCTTGGGCCTGGAATAAAAGCATTTATGTTTTCTGTGTCTCGAGCAAGGTGTCATTCAATACGGTTTGGTGTACCAAAAAAGGGCGCTTATAGGGTGTGTGATTTTCTCATTCGCTCGTCACCGAGTGGTCGGCAGTCCAACGTAAGCCACGATGGCGATCGCATAGGAATCGCATGAAAGAACGGGCTCATACGCTCGATTTTAGTTGTTCTCTGAACGAAGAAACACTCCATTTATCTTTATGGAGGAAATACAAACTAAACCTAGTGTTTTGAAGTTCGAAACGAGCAGTTTCAACGCAAGTACGTGCAAGCATTGTTTGTATAAACTAGTCGTACGGAAAATTGTATGCATATTTTAGCGGTCCTTTCACGTCTGAGTCTTGTTCGAAAGGAACCTTTTCTTCGTTGTTCAAAAACGCGGAAATTAGTATTTCGCTTCAATTTCGAAGGCCATCTTGTTGTTTTTAGGGAATGGCGGAGAAATCGAGTAATTTTCTCTATTTGGGATATTGAAAATCATTTATTTGCGATTAATATTCGATAGGTCTTGTTACTAATCTTTTTCGAAATTTATTCCTTTCGTTGTAGATGTTGATGCCAAGAAAGAGCAAGCAAAGACGGCAAACGTTATGTTCGAAGGAAAGAACATTCATTCTTCGCCGTTGGATGGAAAACTTCTTTGTAGCTACAGTGAAAAGCTTTGTAAGCAAAGGAGGTTAAATGGCTACGCGTTTTGTATTCGTCATGTGTTAGAGGATAAAAATGCCCCGTTTAAACAATGTCAGTTTGTGGCAAAATACAACGGACATCAGTGTACAAATCCTATACCGTCTGCTGAGGATAGAATGTGAGTTTGTGATATTTTTTCTTTTCTTTTTCTCCTCTGTGAATATCATTCTTCTCTTGATCGCTTCCGCGCTTCACTTTGATGTTCAAAGCGATGTTGATAATGCTTTTGATGATAAATCGCTTCGAATTTTCGCTCAAACTCGTACTTTGTGTTCTTTTTACCCTTTCAGATACTGCAATAGTCATTTGCAAGTTTTAGGAATCGTTCCCAAGAAAAATCGACGGAAAAAACCTGGCGAAGGAGTTGAGTGCGAGGCGAATTCATCTTCTTCGACAACAGAATGTAAAGTAAGGACAGATGTTTTGGCGACTCCAGCGACGAACATGTCTTCGATCCCTACTCAACTATTTCCTTATCGTTCGAAAAAGCCTAAAAACCAACCGCAGAAGAAAATTTACGCAAAAAGTCCAGCGATAGAAGAATTGAGAGCGAGTAGGAGAAAATGGCAGAAAGACAGAGCGGATTTATTTAAGATTTATGGTAAGTATTAATACAAAAATTTTGCATCCTTGTGCTTTCGATGGAAGCATAAAGCGATTTCGTGTTTTTTGAACAAAATACACGTACTTTATGGCACCTCGATAATCTGGAGCATGAACTATCGAGTTACAAAAACAAGAATTTAAATTTCCGTGAGATATTTTTTTTGCTGCACGTTAGAAAACTCGTTGTCCAAAAATACGATTCAGTTTAGTTGTCACCATTTCGTTTTCCTCATTAGACCTATTGGCATCAACTTATTTCCTCAACCTTTGAGATGGATGAACGAGATTCAGCCCTCTCTTGATTGCCAATCGATCGTGTTCGTCTCTTTTTTGGGAAAAAAAATCCTAAAAATCTCCTGTTATTTTAGTTTCACAATTTTACTGAAAATGTTTTGATCATTGGTATATCCACCAGTTTTCCTGCCACGTTTCCCGATTTTAAAGAGACGAATTATTGGGGGGCAGAGTTACTATTATTTTCAAATTTATTGTGGTGTGATCGATTCCTATTTATTTGGAAAAAGTTCAGTTGTGATTGTCACGAGATAATCCAAGTTTAAAAGTGAAAGTAGCGTGTATGTCAGGTTTAAAAAATACTTGAAATCATGTGATTTACCTCAGAAAGATAGATATTTATGGAAGTTTGATATAGAACAATTTCACATAAAGTTCTCTTGGCTTGAATGATTACAACTGAAAATTTTAAATTTCTCAGAGACGTACAGTGTATAGGATGTTGATTTAACAAGTTGAGAGGTTTTATCAAAAGTCTGGTGTGGCTTGACTATCTTACTGTGTCCATATGAATGAAAAGCTGTGGGAGATATTTTCCCATAGAATTAGTTGTGAGTTATCTGGGAGCTTTTAAAGTTTCAGTCCGTTTCCCTTTATCTCCTTGGAAATGTTTCTTGAGTTTGGCCTTATTATTTCTTCACGTGTAGTCCAATGATAAATTCCATTTGGATATCACTGTACAGTTTTCCGTGGTCGAAATTGACAGAAATTGGTTCAGTTGAGACAAAATTCTTTATACTGATGGAAGAGAAAATTATCCCAGTGGCTCTGCATCATTTTTAATGCCCAAACACTTGGAAATTAGCAACATTGGTGGAAAGAAATAAGTATGACTGATGGTGACAGAAATTTCTAGAGTATGACTGCAAATTTTTGCCTTTATTTGAATGTAGTTTTTGTAATCAGAGTCTTCCCATCTATGAATCCATTTATTAGGTGCATCTTGTGCTGGAAGCAAACTGTAACTAAATGCTATTCACACAGAGATGCGAATTTAAACACAGGCATGCTGTTATGACTGTTATGGTGTCAAAGGCATCTATTTTACTAAGGGCTACTGGTGATGCAACAGCTCTCAGCTGGTGAATATTTGATTCAAATCGAGCAGGGGTTTCATGAATGTTTTCAGTAGGAGGGCAACTGGTTTTCATAGGCGGGCAAAACTGTCTGAACTGAACTTCGTTGTATGATAAACTTTCTTCCAGATTGTCAAACCAGGAGGGCAAAACTGTCTTCATGTCCTCCCTCGTCAATTTTCCTGGAGCCCGGCCCTTAATGAAACCCCTGATTGAGTACATTTCTCAGATCAGTATAATGGCTTTCACTGTAAAAGCTGTTCATTCTGTAGTATGATTAAAGGGGGTGAATTTATAAAGAACTTGTGGTGCTGTGTCAATGAAGGTATTGCAAGATACTTTTGTTTTATCAACTGAGTGGGTAAAGTAAATTAGCCACTGTAAAGAGATTCTAAAGCCAAAGTTTCTATCATTAGCCCTTTTCAGAGCAAATTCTGCGCTTTGGCTACCTTTTAGCATTGTTAGCTCAACTGTTTGCATGTTAGAGTGGTCTACATTGTTCAGTACAATGATCTAGGACTATTTTATGCCCTAATTTTGTTTGGCATAGGGTTTTAAGCCCTGCTTACGACTCATGATTTCCAGATTACAGCATTCCTTATCCAATGTTTTGCCTAAGCCAATCACCATTAAGGCAGGGCCAGTAACACTTATTCACTTAACTTGGTTGTGAAAAAGATTTCCTCATGAATATATTCAGCTTTCTCATAAAGCTTCAAGCCATTGAATTTCTTTTTTTCTGTCTGGGGAAATAGGCTTTTGCAGAGAGGAGAAAAAGCACTCTTTAATCCAGATTTATTGCCTTTACATAAAAGTTTAAGATCATAGTTAATCCAGCACATATTACATCACCTGTACATCATCAACATTCAAGTGGATTATAAAAATATTTGGTTATCCAGTCTAAAGCAGAGGAATTGTGCACGCTAGTGGCAGAATTCTTTGATCTCTGACACTTGGTAAACTCCCTGCCAGTAATTCTTCAATGTTTTAGTGCAAGTGTATTTTTGTCTTCAGATATTGAGAGTTCTGATGGTGATAGTTCCAGTGAAGGTGATGATATGCCCTGGCAGCAAATGTGGCTCTCTTGTGATAGTGATCTTGATTATGAAGCTCTTAGAAAGGAAAACAACTGGTTAGTCAGCTTTGTTTGTTTTTGTTTTTTTTCCTGACAGTTGAGAATGTTTGCCATGTCTAACAAACACCAGAACATATCACAAAGAATTATGTCCCACTTCATCATAGCAATAATTGTTTGCCTGTGCTGCAGATTATTGATTGTTTTCGGAGAAGGGTATTTTTCTGAACAGTTTCAATCTTCTTTACTTTTCGCTATGTAATTTAATTTTTTACAATAGTGGCTCCCTCAAATTTTTGTTACTCCATTCTTTTTAGCCTCAGTGCTGATATTAGAACTGCTAAGATTTCAAGACTGAGTAGCCAACTACGACGTCAACTTCACCAACTCAGAAGAACACTGCGAACACGGCGCCATCAATACAAAGATCTAATGGCATCTGGTAGTGTTCTGGTGAAGGCTGTCCAGAGTAACAGCTCAGCCTGTGTGGATTCCCTTCTTGAAAATAGCAAAAAGATGTGGAAAACAAGGTGAGATGTTTCACTGAATTCCAAGAAATTAATTTCCCCGCGTTTCATGTTACCTAGTGAATTTGCCCTGGATATGAAGCTATGATCTGGAAGATGTACTTACTCAGTAGGTAGTGTGCTGGAAACTCTAAATTTAGAAGTAAGGGTGTAAGCCATTGTCTTGTCTCTATGTCGTGTTCTTGGGCAAGACGCTCTCTCCTCAAATTGCCTTCCGCTGTAAAGGATTATAAATGTCAGAGGAACTCAAATCAGGAGTTAGGTAACCTGCTATTAATCAGCTTCCTATTTAGGAAGGAAGGAAGGTAAACCTAATGGCTCAATGCCTTTGAAACAGTTGTAAGGGTTGGACACACAGGCTACTTTATATCTAAACCAGACTTTACCTTTACTTAGCTATTACAAAGAAAAAAGAAAATTAAAGAAGTAAACCCAACTCTATTAACTCTCAAGAGTGACCAAGACAGAATTTCTCCTTACAATATCAATTCAACATCAAGCAAAAAAGAGACAAGAATATATAAAAATATCAGTTAGGGGCTCATTTGCTGATCCAATACCAAATTCTCAGAAATAACATCAAAAGAATTGTAGCACAGAGAGCACGGAGAATTAGAAATGAGATCGTGGGAGTGAAAGGGTTTCCCCTTTAATTGAACATGTATTTTTTTTTCCATAGACCAAGACCTGCTAGATGTTATGTGAAAACATGTGCATTCACTCAAGATGATGTACAATGTAACAAGAAAGCCTTCCCATATACTAAGTTTTGCAAGGATCGTATCCTTTTCACATAAGTCATGTTTTGGCATTACTTTTTTTGTGAGCTATATATCTTGAAGAATTGACTTTTTATGGAAATCGTTTGATTGACACTTGGAAATTAATTATATTTATGTACATTAATCTTTTCTTTGGAGTTTGTGTCTTTGACAGAATCAAAATTTGTAGATATAATGAATGACTCTATGCAAGTATTATATGCCCAGTGCACTGCCAAGTGGCCTGGTGGCCTCCAGTGTTCTGTGCCAGTCTTTGATGTTATTCATGAGCGCCCTCTCTGTGATGAACATGCTAGGAAAAAGGTTAGAAGCTGTCTCCATTAGTTTAGAAACTGGAATTACAGTGTACAACAAAAGATTATGCCATCTTCAGTTAAAAGATGTTGCAGCTCTAAAATTTGTTTTTATCCCCTCAGCCACCATTTGTGCAATCTTTAGAAAAACTGTGAGCACTTTCTATTTGATTCTGATTAGTAACTGACCAGTTACAATTAAGTAGAAGACATGTCAACAATTCTCAAAACCAAAATGATTACAGTTGTAATTTTTGTGAGGCTCACTGTAGTTTATGTGAGTGATACAACCTACTTCCTGTCGTTTCACCAATGCAGTTACCCATGTCAGGTAAATCAGAAGCTAATGGGGTGTGGTGTACAAACATCATGAGTGTTCTACAACCTCTAGGTGGATTAAAACTCCAGTAAACTGATAAAGAGGGCAGTATATTGTTTTTTTTTTTTTTTAATACCTATGTGTAGAAGGGTACATGCCTAACAGGGTCAACCTGTTCAGCCCTTTAATGTTTGCTTTCATTATGGTTTTGAATGAGATTGTGACAGTGAGGCTCTACATGTCATTTTTTCATTTTTCTACATGTACTTAGTATTTGATGCTTTTCTTTTGTTGCAGGCCAAATGTCAAGAGGCTCAAGCCCAGGCTCAGGCAGCTGCAGCGGCAGTCAAGTCCTCTCCAGGAGCAACAAAGCCTCCTCCAAAGAAACAGCGGCGGAAACCACAGCCAAAAGCCTCATTACCTCAAAAGGTGCCCAAGCCAACTAAAAAACCAGCCAATAGAAAACCAGGCATGCCAAGAGCAAGCAAACTAAGATCAATTAAGACATCAAACAATTCAATAAGACCTATTGGTTTGGACAATTCATTTAGTCCAGACAATTCGTCTGATATGTTATCCCCAGATATAAGTTTATCATTGTCATCAGACTACTCACATGGAAGTGGAGCTTCTCCTATGTCACCTGCCCTTGACGACTTTCAGCAGTATGACTCATCCATGTTTGAATCAGAACAACAGGAGGAGATGCTCCTCAGAGGCCTTGATAATGAGGAAAGGGAACATGATATCCTTAGTGGAAATTTTCCAACTGTTTCTAATGGTAATTCTCCCATTAAAAGTCTGTATTCTGCGAAAGGCAAAGAATGTGGTGTTGGGCACTCTGTTCCGGCATCAGTGATCACACACACCCCAGGATTGTTAAACAGCAGTGGTTTTCTTGGCACAGGTCAAGATGATTCTTGTTTGTCTGAATCTGGAACAAAGTCATCACCGCTTAATAGCAGAAGTAAACCAAACAAGGTCTCTAACGTGAGAGACTCGAAGAAGTTAGTTCATGCAAGTACTGCTTCTCACCCATGCCCAGACATTATATCACCAATCATTCATCAGAACAGTATCAAAAAGGAGAATAACAAGATCAAAGAACTTGCTCTTAATAAGGACCCTATGTTTTCTCCCCCGCATGGACTTCTAGGAAGCAATGATTTGAAATCTCACAGCAATGGAGTGAATTCAGATCATCTTCATTCTCCCCCCATGACAATGGATAACATCCTTTCTCCTACACAACGAAGCTGGTCTGCAATAGTTAGTAACACCTCTCCAGCTTCATCATCGTTTACATCACCTCTTAATTCCACTCAAACAGGATTGACTAGACTTGTTTCACCACCTTTCTCTCCTCCATCAGTGTCTCCTCACATCTCTCCTCACACATCACTTGGAAGTGTCTTTACCTTTGACAGACCTACACATTTTCAGCAGTCGCATATGACGTCACCCACCCTGAGTCCTGCGAGCCCTTCATTCCTCCAAGGACAATTGAAACAGACAGGAGCACGTTTTCCAAGGCACAATGAAATTGACCATTCTGACGATCCTTTTCTTTTTGATGACAGAGACCAAACTCTATTTGGCGGAACATTTAATCAGAATCATGACACAACCTTGGGTGATCTGCGGTTAAGATAAAGGGCTTGAAACTTGCTATTTTCATCCCTGGAGGACAAGCAGAGCTTTTTTTTTTTTATTGCTATACCTGCATCAAGTGGTTTCTTATCTCAGCCTATAAGTAGCAGGACTGATGATTATTGGGGTATCCCAGGTATTTATGTTGAGCTTATGCAGTGCCACTTCAGCCTTATAAATGACATAAACAGTACTGCAAATCAGGAATTCATTGGTTTCTTCAGAAAGATTTCCAGAGTATAAACCTTTCAGTCAACATTACTTCATTGAGTACCATTAAATAAACTAACAATACCAGCATGTTGACGATGCTGTTTTATGTATATAAGGAAATTATTGTAAATATTACTCCACAGCCATGTGGTTGGTGTATCTGAGATACACCATGTCAGATGCAAAAGACAGCTCAGTTGCATTTTCAGGCCTGTTGTTCTGTCCAAGATGCACTATTTTACTTTACTTGTGCAAAGATTTGGAGGTTGGTGTATTTGAGTTGTGGCAAACTGTGCCCTATTTCTTTTGCCTGTTGAAAATTGTAACCTGTTGACTCCTGATTTTGTGTTCTCCATGTAATTCATGAATGAATTCTTATTTAAGTTTCACTCCCAAATTTTCTTTATGTCGTGTAAGGAAGAGAAGGAGCCATGCATTTAGAGGAACAATATTTCCCCCCAAAATTGTCCTAAACGGCACTAAGTAGAACACATAGGGAAAAACATATCCTATTTACATGACAATTATAAGAGAAGCAAAAGTAGGAGTTAGTGGAGTTCATGTCAACTGAGTGTCAACGGTAATCCAGAATTGATTGATCTTCTCAATTTGTGCTACTCTCTTAACCAACCAGATGCAAAACTAAAACAAAGCCAAGCTGAAACAAATCATAATTTTGTTGCTGGCAACTTCTCTTACTTGTTTGTTGGCATGGTTTTACCCTGAGCTTTCATTGACTCCTAGTCATGGTTTCTTTGTTTAGATGAGCTGCAGTGATTACACTGGTCTGCTTTGATGATGCTCAGTTGAAAAGCTCTTTATCGGTTGTTATCTTGCCTGTAGTGATGTTGGTTGTATAAAGTGTAATTAAAACCCTCCACCCCTACTTCAAACAATGACATGTGACAAGAGAAACTGCATCAAATGCAGTTGAAGTTATTTTGAAGGTAAAAAAAAATACTGTATTTATATAACTTCATCTCAAAGATGGCTTGACAATGAACTTACATTCTGAAGGTCAACAAGTTGTTAAATTTTCTTTACCATGTTTCCTCCCATCAAACAGGGTTGTAATTATCTTGACTAAGACTCGACTCTCCTTACAGTTTCCAGTTTTATGTGGCTTGTTTTCAGTTGGTTTCTGTGCAAGACTTAACACA